AAAGCACCTTTGGGACAACCATGATCTGGATGGCTGAGAATCTCCATAAGATATAAGTCTAACATATTTTGTTGATTATTATATTTTATGCTACTCTACAAGTATCACTCCAATACAAATGATTTTTCTTCCAGTATTCTATAAGTTAGATCTCTGTAGTTTAGCATCTCTGAAATGCTGCTTAAATTCACAAGATGTTTAACCAATTTCAGCAGAACTAATACCCAATTGCATTGATATGATTTTGCCATTCACCTCTGTTATGAGGTATTTTGCTGGTTTCATTTTACTTTGTATGGTACAGATTTCCAGGACAGCTAATAGCTATCCCTGTTTCCCTTTCAGCATCAGTTTTGTCATCCATTCCATGGCATGCACTTCTGCACTCTTTTAAAATAACTGTTTAGTGCTTTGCTTTAGCAAATAGCTCATGTTTTTCTTTTCCGGAGTGGCAGGCTTTCTGAGCATTTATTTACATTTTCTGCACTTGGCTTCTCCTACTGTAGCACTATTCATACTGATCTGTTACTTCCTGTATGCTACTATAAATTACTCCCATTTGCTTTCACTCCGAAGTGCTGCTTTATAATACAGTTTCCATGGAGATAGAAACCTCAAATGTTCTTTCAAATGTTAAAGCTGCCTCTGTTAAAACTCTTTTTTCCCCTTAGTTTTTCTTTCAGAATTCCACAGAATAGGCAAACTCTTAAAGCATCCTCAAAGCCTTTTCTGAATTTGAAATGTTCGAACAGGTTTTTTAAAATTTCCCTGCTTTCAAGGATGGAGTAGAAAAAAAGAAAAAGAAAAGAAATGCACTCCCTTGCCTACAGTAATATTGCCGTCCCCCCTTTCCAAATTAGGTATCCTTAAGGCCTCCTATTGAAAAGCTTATATTTGGGCTACCTTCTGTAGTTCTCACCTGACTCAGGTCCAGAACAGTTTCTTCAGCAGAGCCCACTTGGCTTGTTTCTCTGCCAGCCAATCTCAGGGCACCACTTCTGAGAGTTGAAGACCACACTTGCCATGATAGAGAAACACTAGTCTAGACTTATTCACACCTCAGGGATCCTTAGCTGGAAATCTTCTTCCAGCTACAGTAGTGACTTCTACAGCTGCCTCCATCTCTCCTCAAGCACCTAAACTACTCAGCATTTTTGTTGCTGAGCCTCTGTTTAACCAGACAGAATCTCTGGTGAGTGTTTTAAAGATCTCCATGAGGAGCCATACAGGACTGTGTGTCACTAGACATGCATTTGAAAAAGGAACACACTCCACTTGGTAGAAGGGAAAAAATTAAAAACATAGTCCTGGCTATTGAGGCTCATCGTCAGCCATAGTCCTCATTATTACCTCTGAAACAGCAGCTTCCTGCTCAAACAGACTTTCTGAAAATGGAAGGGCTGGAGGCCTTGGCATCTTCCCTAGCACAAGTGTGCACTCTCACCTGGCTGCATTCTAAACAGAAGGAAAAAGGAGATGACCAAGATCGGGGGAAGCTTCTATAAGAACATGAACCAGAAAGAAGCTGAATAATGAAAAGTGAGATGTCTCAGGGAGGCTTTTACTATGGAGTGACAAAGATCTTGAGGGAAATTGTGATGGACACTTGGAGAAAAATGAGGCAAAATTAACAGACATTTGATGAACGGAAATAAGTAAGGGGTGAAGAGTAGGATTATTTTTTTCTCCTCTTCCATCAAATTAACATTGAGAAACTGCTACCCCTTAACTTTGAGATGATCTTATGGTATGAACAAAAGCTCTTTACTTTGATGGTCTCATTCTTGGCAAGAGGACAAAGCATTTCAAAATAAAATAGACTTGTCTTGGAAAAAATCCAGTGAGATGACACTATTAAAAGCAGGTGTATTGAATTATAGTTTGGAGCCTCTATAAGCTAGTCAAAATGCTCAGGGAATGAAAATTCAATTTTGATTTAACTGAGAGAGTCCTGCATGTTTGGTAGCTTAAAAGGGGTCTGCCTGCGGTCATTTCTCTGGGGTTCTCTGGCAGACAGAAAATATGTTTTTCTTTCTATGAACTCTTTTAAATTCTGGATGTTCTTTGATTTGATCTCTTGGTACATGATATATACTTCATATTCCTTTTCTATAATTTTTTAAAGAATTTTGATTGGAAATTAAAAAGAACTAATGTAAAGTAAAAAGGAAAGAGAAAGTGAACAAATAAAAATCCAGTAGTTCAGAAAGAAAGAAAAAGGATCTTCCTATTTTTTTTAATAGCAATTATAAGTACAAATACAAAATTTATTCTATGGCTATAAAAACAAACTCTTTTTGCTGTTTATTTTTTTTTAGTCATCAAAACTATAAGTCACAAATTCATTTTTCCCTGTTTTTAAGGCAAAAGTCTAGAAGGGGCTTCAAGTCAGCAATAAATGCACATATTGTCTTTTCTCTAACTGAGGAAGTCAATTAACTATCACTGAAATTTTCATCAATTCCACCAACCATTTCTCTATAATGGGCATTTACTGGGCAATGCTCCTATGCATATAATAATATTGCTGCAATTATCATTTATAAAGACAAAGCTCCATGACTTTTTTTCCAGCTGTTTAGCAAACTCAAAAGAAAAATCTTTGTTTTCAATTGCATATTAATCCTTAAGATCCTCTGAATTTGTGTGTGTATTTGTACCCAAAATTTTCTGGCTTTTTTGCATGTCCATCAAGCATAATAAAATGTCCTTTCTTGTTCATATTTCCAAAATAAATCTGATGTAACTTTACACACTCTAAACAATTTATCTGGTGACATATACCAGTGATGCACCATTTCATAAAACTTCTATTTCAGGTTATAACAATGTAAATTTCAGACTTTTTAACCACATAGTTTCCTATTGTTCTTTTTGTATATTATAATCAAAATGTTTAACCCATTTTATTATACATTCTTTCACTTATTCATCTTTCCTATACATCTTGTAACACCTTATATTTAACATATTCATTATATATATGGTTAAATATTCACATTATGTGACTATGTTACCTTATTCTGCCTTGGAATAAAACTTTTAAGTATTTATGCTCTTCTTCTCAGGCCAAAAGAGCTTGTAACATAATCTTGCTAGGCTGGGGACAGAGGAATACAGAAACTTAAAGGAGATTCTGATTATAATTCAGACCATAAATCAATCAGGCAGATCAGGCAGTCAGATCTTTCTAGCAAAGAATGTTAAAATATTTTCTGCATCACCACATGCAATCTCACATGTGAAAATACAGAAGTATAACTAGAAGTCATTGTCAGGAAACAATGCTTAAAGCTGAGGGGTACCGTTTGAGGAACAGAGACCTTCAACGGTGGTAAGAAGAAGAAAAACCCTCACTTGTATTTTGCTTCTCAGTCAAAATTCCAGTGCTCTGGATTTTACTTATTTTGACATCTACTTTTTTTAAAATCAACCTATTACTGCCAATAACTCAACTTATTCTAATTCTATGAAACCCCACTTTTTGGTTAGAATAAGGCTGTGTATTGCCATTTTAATTTGGAATTGCTTCAAAATAATCGGTTTCAGGTTCAAAATCTGATCGGGATGTTTCCTCCATAATATACAATAGTTCTGCCTCCGATTTTAGAAGAAAACTTTAAAACTTTTTTGTGTACTTAAATGTTCAAGAACTGAGTGTAGTATTGCAATTTAACAGCAGGAGGCATCTGCATCCTGGTCTCTTATTCAAACTTAGAATGACCATGTGCTTTATAACTGTTACTCTGTGGGAGGAAAATGTTATTTCAACTAATAACATCTTAAACACGTGAATCAATTCTTTATGCTTCCTTTAAAAAACAGCAATAGTAAACACAATACAATCATTAATGTATCTAAAATCCATAAATGAAGATGTAATTCACTGTGTACAATTAGTTACAAAGATAACATTTCATTATATGTTTAACAATAGGGGGTAACTAAAAAAAATAAAATGATGAAATGTTGAAAGATACAATGAAATAAACTAGATTTCCAATCCTCCATTTTGCATTTATTACAGAAATACAGCTGCTAAAGATGCCTGCACTTTGGTTATGAAGCACCTGTTAAAAGTCACAGTAAATGTTGTACTTCAGTTCTAAGAACTTCCACAACCCATTAATGAAAGCTGATGGACAATTCTGGGAGTTGAAGTCCAAACATCTTAAAAGTTGCCAAGTTCCTAAAACAGTCTTTAAAAATGCCAAGGTCCCTGTGTTATTTAAAAACTGGGTTTGGGGGATTTGGGGCTTTCCAGATGTTAACAAATTTTCAGCAAGGGGTGGATAACAGATTAACAGAGTTAGAAAGGTCATCTAGTCCAACCCTCCCCCCAAGCAGGAGACCCTACACCATTTCTGACAAATGGCAGTCCAATCTCTTCTTGAAAGTCTCAACTGATAGCACTCCCACAACTTCCGAGGGCAAGCTGTTCCATTGGTTGATTGTTCTGTCAGAAAGTTTCTCCTTATTTCCAGGTTAAATCTCTCCTTGTTCAGTTTCCATCCATTCCTTGTCTGGCCTACAGGCGCTTTAGAAAATACTTGACCCCTTCCTCTCTGTGGCAGCCCCCCAAATATTGGAACACTGCTATCATGGTCCTTCTCTTCACTAGACGAGCCGACTTAGTTACTGCGCTACCCAGAGAGCAGGAATTGTAGTTTAGCAACTCAAGAAAGCCACAGGCGAAAATAGTAGAATGTATAAAATAAATATGTATTGAGTTTATGTCCGTATGGAGAAGTGATAACCCGGGGCCATACTGTTCTCAAAAAAAGATATTTTATTTGTATTTGTATGTTTTGTGAAAACTCAAAACTTTTATTTAAAAAAGCCATAGGTTCCCCGCCCCTTTTCAGCTTCTCCAACGAGCGCAGCTACCCATTGGAAAGGCCTTTTAGGTTAAAGAGGTGCGTTCCGCAGATCCGTCTCGCCCAGCTCTTGAAGAGGCAGCAAGCCCCGCCTCATTGCTCGCCAGCCCGCTTCGATTGTTGCTTCAGGAAACACCGGAGGCCCTTGTGATGACATCAGCCCGTTTGTGGTGTTGAGTGCAAAATAAAAAGGGTCAATCCCAACCTAACCCCTCCCCTCCCTTTCGAGCCTCTTCGGGCTGGCTGTGGGCGCTGCTTGGGGACCCGCCTTCTCCCGGAGAGAACAAAACAACCCTCCTTGCGGATTTCTGTGCCACGCCAGCTCGGGTGCTTAGAAACAGGACGTCGGAGCGACCAACGCCAGCTTAGCCAGGTAAGGGGGTCGTCCTTTTGCCAGCTCTATCAAACGGTCTCCTCCTCCGGGGTCAATCTCGGCTGCGAGCGATCCATGTAAAAAGAGATCCGCCAATTTCCTCCAGCTCCTTTTGCCCAATTTAGGAAACCCCCCTTTGAAAGTGCCAGGCCACTTGCGCGACTTTAAGTTTACCCGCTCAGTAAGTTTAAAAAAAAAAGGGGGGGGGGTTAAGTTACTGTTAGATTTTCGCTTCCACGCCCCATGAAAAGAGTATTTTGCACTGCTTTTTTTTTTTTAAAAAAAGGCCCTCTGCAGCAAAAGCCCCGATGAACTCTTATGTATCTGCTATAAAAAGTGCCTGAACCGCAAACTTACTCTAGTTACAGTATTTCCTGTTTGCCACTCCCTCCGCATATGACAGTTCTCGATCCAGATATTGGCAAAATTTCGCAGTCCAGTGAAGTAATAGTAGGGCGCCGTTTCCTACATATGTTTGCCTTTGTATTTACCACTGTTGGATGGCGTGCTTCTATTGAACACAGAATACAAGTTCATCCCTGGAGACGTTCTTGATATAGAGTTGGGAAGGCTGCTTGTTACTGGCATTCTTCAATGAGAAGAATGTTTCAAGCACTCCATTCTCAGGGTGTTCAGTGCCTCTGCACTTCACTTCCTAGTGCTTGAGATTTATGGGAATTGCACTCCCAACACAGTTGCAAGGTGTCAGGTTGGGGAAGGGCATTAAACTATGTATTAAAGCCATTGGTTGAGTTGTAAGAGACAACAGTTTGTTTTTTGCTAACCTGTATTGTGAGATTTTGTTGTAGTTGAAAACTAGTTTGCTTAATCTGTGTGATCTAGGGTTAGGCTACCATGACTTCATCAATAAACCATGACTAAAAATTCTGGCATAGGGTGAGAGGCACATTTAGCTATTTAATTGGTGGGCACCTGCTAACTTTATCTGCTGAACTCTGTTTAATGCAGTAATTTATAAATAAAGATTATTGAGAAGATCATTCTATCAAAGGAGAAAATAACCAGCTATCTGCCCTACAATCCAAAGAACCTGATTCAAAGGCCAAACTTCTTTTATTTGAGAATTTCTTTATGTTCAAATGAAATATATACTGTATAGTATTTTAGAAGAACCTAACCTACTTACACTATTCCAGATGAGGTTTTCACACTGTCATGAAAAATCAGCCTTTGCTACACTAATGTTTAAGATATAAAATTCAGTCTAATACAATTTTAATGGCCTCAGGTGCTCAACTTTAGGGTTTTTGGTAAAATCTTGGATCTGCATAACATAAAAATGTCTTCTGTTCTTTAACAAAATGCCTTAAGGTTATTGTTTCTAGTATTTTAATTATAAATTGTTAGTCTGACAACTTGATTTGAGCTGACACATAGCCTTAGAATCATTCTTTCAGAAAATGCTACAGAATATGCTACACATACACTGAATGCTGGTTTAAGCACTGAGGATATTCAGTCTGTGATTGTGTCTTATTTCCCTGATTTTCAAGATGAATGCACCCTGTGGATTGAGTCCATATCTCATTAAAGATATAAAAACTCATTTCACTGAAATAGAACTATATTTTTATGTGAGAAAGAAGAGAATATTAGGAATGGGGTGAGTGGAAATAGCTTACAAAGATAGCAATGTCCCATGCTCTTTTTAAAATTAAAAAATAAAGGAAAATGCTAGTGTAAATTGCACTTTGCACTTAACTCCATTCCCTATATTTATAATGCATTGGGATCATTTACATTTTATAGTTTTTCTAACCCTCCTCTTTGTTTTATGATGCATGAATAATACTAAGTCTAATGTCATGAGACTCACATTTTTATACAGAAATGAGACTAAGTCCTAATATCTAGTTTTGTATATTGTGCTAAGCTTGGCTTACAAGTCACAATAGCTAATCAAGCAGCAATATATTTTAGCCTGCTATATAAACTTTGTCCAATATGTTGCATGCATTTTGATAAATCATGGATTGTTTTAACTAATTGAATAAGCCATAAAAGGGACCATCACATTGCAGGCTAACTATGCTGACTGCCAAGCAGTTCAATCCTCACTGACATTGTTGACTCATCCTTCCATCCTTCCAAGGTAGATAAAATGACCCAGATTGTTGGGGGCAATATGCTTATTCTGTAAACTGCTTAGAGGGGGCTGCAAAATTCTATGAAGCTGTATAGAAGTCTAAGTGCTATTGCTATTATGCCTGTCGGTAAAGGTCCTAATTATAATATTGCTATATAATAATAGTGTCAACTTACTTGATCTAGTGCAGTACTTCTTAAGAATTTGACTCATCTGTAATGCTAAAGGATGTCCATTTATGGTAAAGAATTCCGTTACTCAATGGTCTGATCAATGACTGTTTCTTCCGTAATAGAGTAAGCTTTGAAGCTTGCTAAGAGCAACCGGCAGTAAACTTTAACATGTTGACATAACAACCAAAGAAAACAATTTTGCTTCGGTTGTGTTACATAGATTTGTTTTCTTTTTTTAATATTTGATTGATAGCTGTGTCTCTGCACAGTTTTGTTTGACAGAATGAAGAGGCTACCTGAAATTAGATGGCAAATCTCTGACAGGGTTGACATGTGCTCTCCTGTGCTTATTTGAGTTTTGTTGCATTGGCTGGTTTTACTTGGTAGACTAAGTTGTAAACTGTGGTTTCAATGCACAGTGATTATATTCAAAAGAAATTAAATCAAAATAAAATGTTTCATTTCATGTTATAGTATCCTATCAATATCATTTTCTCATCTTTACCATGAAAACATTAATTATATGTCTTTTTGAGAAGGAGACCAGAATAGAAGTGCGAGAAGGCAAATTTAGATACTTCTTAAATGAGAAGTACTAATAATCTGCCTCAACCTATGGCAACAACTTTAATTTTCTGAGTGTCTTAGTATTTTAAATCATATGATACTTGGAGGGGATATATTGCAGGGCTATAAGGTTAGACTCAAAACTTGAATATAACCTAGAATAAGGCAGTGCCAAAGCATTTTTGTATTGCTTTAAAAGAAAACCTACATGAATGTGTCTGAAGTCTTCAGGAACAGAACTGGATTCCAAAGTAATTGGCTTTTATTAGCAGTTTAAATGTAACAATCCAGCAATTCCTATTTATTCCCAAAAAATGTAAGATGAGTTTCTAATAATCTTTCTCCACAATTGCAATAGAATAAAATGTTGCATTTGCCAACACTAAAAAAACCAATAAAGCAACTATTCCCTGTATAGTAGAGAACATGGCTTAACCTTAGATAAGGTCAAAGTAGAATATACCATGAATCAATCTCTGGTGATTACATGAACCACACCCATGTACTTTTCTTAGTAATAACGTGGAGAGTTTTCCCCTCACATTGCTTCCTTTCTTCTTTTAGTCTAATCTACTTTCAGAAACCAGAGATTTTCTTGGCTTTCTCCAAATAAGTACAGAACTCCCCAATATTAAATTTCTTGTACTAAGCTAATCTTATTCATACTTCTCTGGTATTGCAATATTTATGGCTGCTAGTTCTCATGTTCTCAGAAAACCACTTGATTGTAAACAATTAAAACTTTAGAAATATTTTTTCTAAAAGATGGAAAAGAAAAAGATGGAGAGGATGAAGATAGTGTATCTTTAGAACTACAACAAAGAACTCTTTCTGAGTGCTTAAACAGAATGATTATCACAAGGCTAACCAATTTTTGCATAATCTCATTCTGATCATTTTTGTTTCTCCAATTTGTACTCTGTCCAACTGTCAACTGTTTTCTCCTGGCTTGCTTTTAGCTTACTGGCTGCCTGTTAGTCTAAAAAATTGGGTTATTAACAGTCTAGTACAAGGCTATCAAATTCAAGGCCCTTGGGCCAAATCCAGCCCACAGGGTGTTTAAATGTGACCTGTGGGACTGACCTGGAAACAGTGAAGGACTGGCTCACAGTGCCTCTGCCAGCAAAAATGGAGCTCGGGAGGATTGTGCATGGCCCTCCTGAGCTCCATTTTCACTGGCAGAAGGTTGCAGGAGGCCGTCACAGCCGAAAAAGGAGCGCTTGAGCCCATTTTCATTGGCAGAGCGCTCAGGCCACCACTGGCACCCCTGACACAAGTGACGTTGAAGTGGCTCATCCTGGCCATGTCCACCCCAGCTCCCCAAGGTCAAACACAACCCTAATGTTGCCCTCAATGAAAGCAAGTTTGACACCTCTGGTCTAGTAGAATAACAAACTTGTTTCATCATGAGATGTTGTATCATTTTTCCATGTCTCTAAGCCACCTTGAGCATCCCACAATGGAAAGGTGGAATGTACAGTAAATCATTGGGTAAGCAATCGCTGTGGTACAATAGCCAATATGATTGTACAAGAGGAATCCAGATTCACATCCATCCTCAGCCATGGAAAGGCAATGGGTGACTTTTGGTCATTTACTTTTCTCAGCCCAAACTACATCTCGTTGTAGAGGTAAAGAAACGGAGGGAACACTCTGTAAACTACCTTGTGCTTCTGAACAAAAGTCAGGTCATAAATATAAATAAAACTGATTCAGATTACATGGACAACTAATTGGACCAAGAAGATCCTTAAGAAAACCCAATGGTATTACTATTTTTATGTAGGCATAGTCAAACAATTTTATTCTCATAACAGAATAATAATTGAATATAATGCAGTAAATATAACTTTCTCCATGGGATGGAGTAATCAAAAACGTATATGGTCTCAAATGGAACAGACATATGAATGTCCTTAAGAAAAATGTATTTGCCATTAATGTTGTGTTACATTTGTACAGGTAGTCCTGAATTTACAGCCATTCATTTAGTGACCATTTGAAGTCTGATAAGCAAAGTCAATGGGAGAAGCCACTTTTGCTTAATATCTGAAGCAAAAAAGGTTATAAAATTGGGCACAATTCACTTAACAAGTGATGGAGGTTCCAGTCCAATTGTAATCATAAGTCAAGAACTATCTGTAATTCTAAAT